AAGCAAAAAAAGCCTCGCTCTTCAACGAAGTAAACTGGGATATAAACTTCCCAAAACAGTCTGAAAACTGTCCCTTCCTCCACCTCCGCGGTATGACTGGTTCCTCCGGTTAGGTCCCGGTAGCGTGAAACAGAGTACAGTCAATACAGGATTGGACAACTACCACGGCAATGATTAATTTATCCTTCATTTTATGACATATGGAAAATAGTCAGACCTGCAAGTATCAGCATACACGCGGTTTGATTGTCCTAGCGCTGGTACTGCGGTGGAATTGCCTAAACGGGATTGTTGCTGAGCCAAACATCGAAGCCGATAGATGCCGCGTGATGCTTGCACAGCCGATGCCATGCTCCCCACCAATGCAGTTCGGCGAAGAATTAAAAATCTTCTATGTCACCCCATTGTCAAGTGGAATGGGCGAAGCGTTTTTGGGAAAAAATAAGAAAGCCAAAAAAAAAAAATATTTTTTCGATGCCTGTATGTTGTAACGGGCCGTAGTGCTTTTTTGATTCAATGCTGGAGTACAGCCCAAACTTGAGCAGTCTCATTCCTTTGTCATTGTAGACCCGCAAATAGCCATCATACTTTCCGTCTACTGGGGCCGAATGCGCCGTCCCGTTCAAATGAAATCGCCGCCAATCACATTTCCTCGCTCGGCGCCAGGCCCGGGTGAGGGGTTACAAGGCTGCGACTTGGTGCTGCATTCACATTGCACGACATTAGGGATTTTCTCTCATAAATGCTCCCGATGAGCCGCAACTTTTATTCAAAACAAAGCTGACGTTTGCTGCCAGACGCTGCTCCTCTTATCCACTTTAGGTAACTTCAACAAAGATCCAGATCCATGTGCCTCCGCTCGCATTAAAGGTTAGCTGAAGTGAAACTAAGCTAGATTCACGCGTTATTTTTTTCTCACGCTGTTGCGCCTCACCTGAAGCTGCTCTGCGCCCCCCAGGGGAAGCGCGCCTCACCACTTCGAAAACCGCTCGATGTTCAGTGTTTACAACTGTGTGTGCCTCATGCAGCATTTGTAAAATAATGAAGAATGGAAGTCCGGTAATGTTATCAAAACACTGCTCTAAATTTAATTTTTGAGGGTGTAAAACTCCTCAAGTTTCATCTTTTAAAAAAGGTTGGGCTGACTTGCCCCATGAACTTTCTCATTTCACTATTATGCTCTTATTTTCATCATCATATCAAAGCCTTTGATTCCAAAAACAATTTGTAGAGGATTGTGCGAGTTAAAATTAGGCTTTATGACGGATTCAGTGGAGCAATTGCATCTTTAAGATCAGGCACATTTCCCTTTATCACATCTTTAAATGTGTAAACTAAGCGTGTGTAGTTCTAATTTCATGCCTGAGGGATGTGGTTTAATTACACTGCTAAACAGAGTAAAAAAGATTAGCTCTACCTAGCGAGTGTTTTTCGACAGCAACTAATCGAAGCTGCAGAGAAAAAATGCTCTTAATACTTCTCCCTCGAAGAGAATCCCCTGGCCAGCAGATAACGGTTCAGCCTACGTTAAACATGCCTGGATCAGTGACGCTTATCATGAGCATGGGATAAGGTAAAAAACAATCAGGCTGCAGCAGACTGTCATGGTTAAAAAGATGTACATGATTGAGTTCCACAGTTAATGTCTCCCTGGCTACCAAGTCAGCGGTGATAATACGTGAGAGCCCTCCATTAACTCCCATTTTGTTCAGAGAGCGCTGCACAGTGCTTGAGCTGGCAGGCTAGTGTAAGGATTACATTAATATAGCCAATATGCCTGTCCTCACAGCGTTCACATGCCTTTGCAATTATGTCGAGGTGAGGGGAAGAGGAGGAGGAGGAGGAGGGGGGTGGGTGGACAGCCGGAAGCTCACCTCAGAGCTAGGGAGCGACAGGCCAGCTGGGTAATAATAAGACGTCCAGTTGAGGGTAATATGCAGCTAATCTGTCATTCCAATCTAATCAGCCTCTTTCCCCCGTGTAGGCATTTGTCATCGTATTAACATGGGACTTGCTAATGAAGTTGAAGAGGACAAGCTGGCCTCCTGGGCCGGACCCTCCAGAGCAATTACTCCTTCACTGGAGGGCGTCCACATTCCCCACTCATTTCACATCTCTACTCTGAGCCATAATCAGCTGCTACTCCTATGACCGATGACCAGACCTACGGATTAACATCACAGTCAATTACGATTTAGGTAATACTAAAGATAAGAAATAAAAGATATACATTAAAAAGACTACATAATCTGCTTTCATAATAGCTGATGCATCTCTTTACATGTAAATGTTTATAAGCCAGATATCTAGCCAATTGGATCAATACGAACAGAATCAGCTACCGAGTGTAGTTATGATGATGAAAATCATAGGCACAGCTCCTTCATACAGTGCAAACACAAATCAACATATTGATTTAATTGAGAATACACAGTAATAGATTATATGATCCACGTAACAGTCTATATAAAGTGATCATGGAGTATGAATATAAATATCTACAGCCAGATGATTGTTATGATGTTTTTAATACAGCTCAACCGTGTAATCAGTTTAGCCGTTGTGTGATGAATAGGCCAAAGAGAAGGCGGGACATCACTAAGTTCATTTTATTTAAACAATGTTTTTCACGATTCATCAATCGGACACCATAACCCGATGCATTGCGGCTAAAACAATCGATGTAGCCTATCAAAACCTCTGAAAAAAGAAAGGTGTCTCTCAGAATCGAAAGAGAAAAACCTATGGGAAAGACACAAAAGCATTGTACACAATTTAAACCAATAAATGTCGTATAATTAACAAGGATAAACTGATGTTTTTTAGTTGATGAGTACTTCAGATATCACTGTTAAATCATTTGATCATTGGTTTTATTATGAAAACGTCGAGACCGGAAATACTGTTTTCAACCTGTAACTTTACATGGAGGCTGCCGCATACCTCAAATCATCTTTGTAATATCTATCAAACTATAGATCCTACATATCGACTGGACGTGGATTCTAGAAGTACAATATACACTTCTCGCTAGAAATCTAATCAAAAAGCGTTTTAATGGCCAAACTATCCTACAATTTAGGATGTTACAGAGAGGGTTATTTGTGAATAAACGACCATCTGTAACGTTTGCATTCAACGGGAGCACTAGAGGGCGAAAACTTTAAAACGTAATTATAGGATGTATTAAGCGCTTGAACAAACAACATATTTGGTCGTAATAAGAGCCCGAATAATCGGCCCATTTGGTCGTATGAGTTGGAGGTCTTGTTGGTTTAACTTCTTTGCCACCATAGATTAGCTTGGTAGCATGCTAAATTTGTCGTTTAATACTAAACACTAAAGTTACGCTGATGGGAAATTCATATATATGGCAAGTAAAGGGTGGTCATAAACCGTATTGTGATCAGGTAACAATAAACCCTGAATATCAATACCTGTTACAACAATCCATACAATACTTACATTTCACTCAATACAAAATGTTCATCTCATAATGGCTCTAGAGGAAAAGTCAGGGAATCAGCAAAGTCAGTAGGATTTATCCTGCAGGTACCATGAATGTTTTTACATATTTTAACGGCAATCCATCTGATAGTTGTTTGAACCCTTTTTATTCGATAGCATGGTATTGGTACATTTATAAAAATGCGTATAAACTGCACTGTCAGAGGTTTTAAGCAACTCACAGGTTTATCTAGGATTTGACAGGAGGCAAGATTTTTTTATATTTTGAATTTCACCAACATTTGATCAAAAT